TCAAAAAGTATTTCTATTAGGGTAAGTTCATGCTTGCATGGGCTTATTCCTAATACAATGTATTGAAACATCTCTGCAATCAATCGGTGGGTAGCGGAAGACAAGTTTCTTCAATAATATATTTGTCTGAATCGTATTAGGGTACCTGCATTAAAATTTTTAAAAAAGGACTTTTTGTGTCATGGAGAAAATTGATTTTGCAGTCAAGGTTAATATAAAAATTTTAGTAAAACTAAAGTAATCATGTCCCCAAATCAGTGAAACTATGCAATACAGTTATACCCCACACAAGACAACAACTTCTAGATGAATCAAGTATTTTAAAGAAGGTTGGGAACATTTCAAGGATGAATTCAAGGCAGAGCTCAGCTCAGTACATTAATTTGGGGGGACATTTAGTCGTGGTAATACTGATAGCTTTCTTGACAGAATCTTGATTGGGTTATCACTGGGCTCATTTGGAAGAAATTTGAAGAAAATGGAAAGCAGCCTGGGTTAGACAAAGGCCAAAAAATTTGTGCAAGGATTTTCCCCCCATCATAAAAATGCACTTGCTCATTCATCAAGGGTGACAGGACTTTCCTCTGAAAATTCCACTGGGAAAGTTTATTCCATCCAATCTTCAGTCCTGAACATGTTCCTTTGGACTTATATTTGTTCCCAAATCATAGAACACTTAAAAGGAACACAATTGGAGTTCCCCAGAGATGCCAAAAGTGCCATTTGGTGTGGTTTGAATCAGATTATGACATGTTTAGGGGAAGTGTTAGAAAGATGGAAAGACCATTTTCCAAAGATTATAGATCTACATGTAGGATATACAGTGAAACAATAGGTTTATGTTTTGATATTTTTATCTAATAAAAAGTTATATGATTTTATATCAATACTCTTACTTAACATCATAGAAGAAACTCTGAAGTAGTCTAATAAATTGGAATTTAAAGGTAAAGGCAAAAATCTTCAAATTCTGTAAAAGACAACGATTAGTAGCTGACAAAGGCAAAAGAATTAATCCAGCATCAGATTTCTCAAACCAACAAACATAAAATGTAGGCAACAATGGAATTGCATTTCCAAAATATGTATTAAGAATATGCAAAAAAATTTACATAGAGTCATGTTACCATTTAAATAGCAAGTCAATTGCAAAACAGTTTTAAACATGCAAGATCCAAGGAATATTGTACTCAAAATCCCTTTTTAGAGTCAGTGAGATGATAACCTTCATCAAACAAAAGATTCATTTCATATATTCAATTATTGACCAAAGAAAAAAACAAAGATGGAAATAAGGATAAAACAATAATATCTAAATGTTATATATCCTGGCAAATTGAAAATTATACAATCAGAAATGTTAAGTGGTAATATCTAGTTCTGGCTGTGAGTAAACAAGTCAGACCATCCTTGCTCTCTCACTGTAAGTAATTAGAAAACTGGACAAAATATATGACGTAATGGATTTTAGGAATTGGACATGATATTGTACAGAATCCAGGGAAGATAAGACTAAAATTGTGTTGGACAGGGTTCTCTAGAGAAACAAAACTAGGACACTTATGATTTTATATATATATAATATAAATACATATAATATCTATCCATATATATGTATATGGTTAGATATATATAGCACAAAGAAATATAACAGCTAATAAGTCCACACAGCAGTACAGAGGGCTCAGTTCAACTCACCTCTGTGGAACAGTTAATATATTGGGAGTCCTTCAACTCACGAGGGCTGCTCAATCCAAGGTCAAAGAAGCAGACAGCTGAGTCTTCCTTAAAGCAATACAGGTGGTCGGGCCAGAGGCAGCAAACATCAGGATGGGTCACCAACCATCAGCCAGAGGACAGAATCTAACAGTCCCAAGCTCAAGGTATGTAAAAACCAGCAGCATGGCAAAGCAGGTCACAAAGGAACCTCAAGCTCTAGCAGCACAATCCACAGGTTGGGTGTCCCACAGGTAGCGTAGCTCACAAGTTGAAGCAGAGAACTTGCTAAGGTAGCTGCACACTGGTCTGATCACCAGAGAGTAAGAGAGAGACAAGTGGGGCTTGCCAAGCCATTTATCTCTTTGTCCTCCAATCAAACTGCAACCTTATTACTCCAAAATGTTCCTATTGGCCAGGTTGACACAATAAAACTACCTATCACAAAAAAGTAAGAAAGGTTTATAATTTTTTTAAAACTGTGGTTCAGATTAAAATGAGATCACTATGATGGCATACAGATCATGGTGGTGTCAGTAAATTGAGAGGAGTTCAAAGAGATTAAACAGCTGCAGTTTAGAGACCAGAGTTCCAAAAAGAAAAAAAAAAGCTATGCAGAGAAAGACTCCAGAAATCAACAGAAAGAACCCATTAAGTCAGCTGCTAAGGACTAAGCCATGTGCGGAAGGGTGAAACTTCATCAGTTCAATTAGATACTTCAACAGCATACAACAACAGTCAAAGAAATAATGATGACCTATAGGAAAAACCATTCCCAAAGTTCACAAAGGTGTTGAGACATTTGATTTCCAAGCAACCAGAATGGAAAATATTCATTGGCTAGCCATGGAATTTATTTGAGTATCCTGGAACTAAACTAGAGGCTCCAATAGCAGTGAATTTTTGGTTTAAACTTGTTCTAGGACAGTATTTCTTAAATGCAACACTAATGACATTTTGCACTATATAACCATTGGAGGATCTAGCCTGTGTACTGCTGAAGGTTTAACAGCATCCCTGGTTTTCTACCCAATAGATTCTATACTAAATTTGCCCTTCCTCCCTTAGTTATTCATATATTGCCTAATGTTCCTGGAGGAAAACACCCCTCCCCCGGTTGTAGAGGGAATCAAATCCACTGTTCTAGGGTAAATGTAACTCTGGACTTTACCTTGCAAAGCTTAAAAACAAGATTCCAAATGATCAAGTAACTGCCTACTAAAATACACTCAGAATTCTAAAGAGAGTCCACAAATCCCAGAACTTAATGAAATAAAATGGAGCATGCCCACCCAACATTCAACAAAAACCTAAGAATTATGTTAATTTGTCTCATAACGAGCAAATGGGGGGAACCATTTTCTCCATTTTCTGAAATACTTAGAAATCATAGAGACAATGAAATTAAATTCAAATTCATTCCTCGTCTAGAAAAACGAAACAAGAATATAATGAAGAGAGCAACTGTTGACTTGTTAGAGGCTTTGCTGTGTATTTTCTCAATAACAACAAAATAAAGAAAACTTTTCAGAAGTTATTTTTTAAAGAACTAAAAAATAACTTCTGGATATGAAATGGATAAAAATGAAAGGAAAATTTTCTAGGTGGGGTTAAAAGGATGCTAATAAATATTAAAGCATAATTAAATTAGAGAATGAAAATTTCTCAAAATAAAACCATAGAGAAAAGAAAGAAAATGTATAAACTATACATAAATTATAATAAGTACCCCAATATGCATTTAATTAGTAGCTAAAGAAAAGAAGGACCAAAAAAAAGGAACAGTTAGTCTCCCCAAATTTTCTAAATTGGAAGAAAGCCACACATTCAAAAATTCACTAAACCACAAACAATACAACATACATACAAATGCATACACACAGAAATAACTAATGTCAGAATGAATTTTGTGAGAGTCAATACCAATATATATAATCTTAAAAGCAGTCAAAGGAAGAATTACATAGAGAAAATTAAAGGTAACGATCCAGGCAAATGTTGGGAACAATGAAACTTTTAAAAAAATGCAATGTCTTTATTGTGCTAAGAAAATGTTTCCTCAATTTTGAATTCTATATGCAACAAGAATAAAGCATAAAGGCAAACAATTACTTATTAAGAAAATAACTGAGAGAAATCATAATAAATAGGACAACAGAAAAGAGGGTGAAGGGAGACGTCAGACAGTGTAAGATAAGAAAAAGTAACAATTTATAAGTTATCAAGGGTTCTTGCGGGAGGGGTAAGTGGGGAGGGATGGAGAAAAATGAAGAGCTGATGCCAGGGGCTTACCTGGAGAGCAAATGTTTTGAGAATGATGAGGGTAATGAATGTACAAATATGCTTTATATAATTGATATATATATATGGATGGTGATAAGAGTTGTAGGAGCCCCCAATAAAATGATTAAAATAAATAAATAAGTAAATAGGACTATACTTTAAAAAGTAATTCTTCAGGTGGACAAAATTTTACCAAATGAAAATATGCATAATACAAAAAGAATGAAATGTGCTGGAAATAATAAGCACAGCATAACTTTCTAAAAATCATTTTAATACCTGAAAAGAGAATTGATAGCTTAAAGCAAAAGCTATGACAAAGTATTGTGAAGTGTTAGCATACAAAAGTAAAATGTATAGCAAAAATATCACCAGATGAAAGATGAAAGGGAAAATGAAAATATATTGTTAATGAAAAATTCATGTTATTCAAGATCTAACATACATTTATTAGAAGATGATTGTTATCAGTCGAAGTTGTGCCTTAACTCCTAGGGCAACCAATAAATAGTAAGCCAACCATGAATATAAAATTGTATTAGAGGAAATATAAAAGTAATACATTATATTGAATTGGCTCAGCATCAACAATTAAGTTATATATGTATCACCAGACTGGATTTTAAGACTGCCTAAAAGAAATCCATTTTAAAATGCAGATGCAGATAGGTAAAAATTTGCATCCTTGCCTTCTTATCTCTAAAGCTTATGAGTAATGCTTTCCAATATTTTGCCGAAGAGTATATCAGAAGCACTCCAGACATCAGCAAAGACGGTATTCTAAGGGAAGACACTGTCTTTTGAGATCTAGATCAAATCGATTGGAAGCTCAGTGTATACCATTGTGCAGTTTTCAATAATTCTAGCTGAGCAGGGCTAGGGAAGGCAAAAAATTAAAGTCTTTCTCTCTCACTATAGTTTTCATAAAGAAAATCCTCCACGATTGGCCAATGATACCATCTCTTGTCTTCATGCATGAAGGCTCACATTCGTCTTTGGTCTTACTGGTTAAGAGCCCTCCGACTCAGCAAATACCTCACAGCCACTTGCACATCCTTATTTCTCAAGCTGTAAATGATCGGATTCAGCATGGGGGTCACTACCCCATAAAACACAGAAATGAGTCCCTCTGAAGCTTGCATCGGTTTTTCCCCAGGCATTTCTTGGGACTTGGGTTTAGCATACATAAAGAAGATGGTACCATAAAATATGATCACCACCGTCAGATGCGCTGAGCAGGTGGAAAAGGCTTTGCGTCTTCCTGTGGCCGAGTTCATTCTCAAGATGGTGTAAAGAATGAACATGTAGGAGAAAAAGATAATCAGAAGTGGAAGAACTAGGAAGATCATATTTGAAAGTGTTAGAGTGGTAATATTAAGGGATATATCAGCACAAGCTAATTTTAAGACAGCCAAAATCTCACATAGGAAATGATTAATAATGTTGTTTTGACAGAAAGGCAGTCGCATGGCCAGTACTGTTTGCACAATGGAGTTGACTCCACCAGAGAGCCATGATAAAGCAGCCATCAGCACATACACCAACTTATTCATGATGATGGGGTATCTCAGTGGGTTACAGATGGCCACGTAGCGATCAAAAGCCATCATGCCAAGGAGCAAACACTCTGTTGAACCCATTGCAAATCCTAGGAACATCTGCACAGCACATCCAGAGAAGGAGATATTTCTTTTCTTTGAGATTAAGCTCACCAGTGTCGAGGGAACAGAAGAGGATGTATAACAAATATCCAGGAAAGAGAGGTTGCCCAAGAAGAAGTACATGGGGGTGTGAAGACGCGAATCAAAAATGCTTGCTAACATGAGAACACCGTTGCCCATTAGAATTATTAGATACATGACGAGAATCAGTGCAAAGAAAATAATCTCAAGCTTTGGATAACCAGAGAGTCCTATGAGAATAAATTCATTCAAAAATGTCTGATTATCCATGTCTCTATGTTAGCACGCAAAAGGAAGACCCCCCACATAAAATATTTTCACAATCAAGCAACAAATGTAACCAATGATTATGAAACATTTTTTCTAGAGTAAATTAAGAATGTTTGCTAAAAAAAAAAAAGAATGTTTGCTTTGAAATAGTCATCAGTTAACTTCAACATTGTATGTGACTAGACTATAATGTTATTGGAACATTCAGAGTGGTAAGCCTCATGACTAACGTAGGCCTATCTACTACTAGTGGGATGAAAATTCAAAAGCAACCTTCCTTGCTGTTGAAGGCAGGTCTGATGAAAGTGTTCCATAAACCTCAACTACTACAGCAACGACTTGACTACTCTATTTAGTCACATAGTGGGGAAGCCACGGTGAAGGCAAAAGACAACACAGACTGGAATTTCGGTTCCGTAATTAATAGACATTCAAAATCTTAAATCAACTGTTTGTCTGCCTGACACTTTGGCTCTCCTGTCAGTCTGTTTAATTGTATCTTTGTATACGGCAGACGTTTGATCCTAGTACATTGCCTCAGATACAATATAATTTAACAGCTGTCCAAAACTCTACTCGGTTATTGATCTGGTATTCATAGGCTGCTCTCACGCTTGTTCTATGAAAAGAAGACCATTGCGTAGACCAGCTTTGCACGTGATGGTAGAAAACCCTTGGAGAACAATACTTCATCTCACTTTACTTGCTTAATCCCATGGCTTCAGTTCTTCTTGATACATTTGTTAAATCAACCTGAGAAAACAGTAATAATGTTTAAATAAATATATGTGGCAGTATGTGTGGCATTTTAAGCATTACGAAATATAAATCAATTCTTCTCATTGCTTCCCTTTTTTAATTGTGAAAGAATATGATCATCGCTATCAAACTTACGAGTAAGAAGTGGGGGCTCATGACTCAGATTTTCCAACGATGTCCAGAGTTCCTTGGGACGACAATAGTGCAGGTTCTGACAGCTCATTTCTCTGCTACAGAATCGCCAAAGATTGGGCTGGGCTGAAATAATGGAGTGAGTCAAATAGTTCAAGCTTCCCAAACTTTTAAATGTACTTTTATATATCACCTGGGGTTCTTGCTAAAATATAGTTTCTGTTTCAATAATCCAAGTGAGGGCCTGGGATTCTGCCTTTTTAAAACACTCTGCAGATGCTACTGTTGGGCCACACTTTGACAAGAAAACTTTAGTTCATCATGGTGAATCAACAGACAATCCAGGTCTTTCTGATAAAATTATATTTTATTTTCTTCTTATTAGACTAGCTCAAGAAACTGGAAGATGACTAAGAAAATACTTCAATCTGGACTTTTTCGATAAAGTCCAGGGATAAAGCCTGCTATTCAGTCTTCTTCAGAAAATAAATATTATGAAACGAATAATTTTATAAGAGGAAAGCAGAATTTTGCTGGACCACTGGAGTAGTTGTACAGTTATCAATAGCTTATCGTGAATCCAATCATATTTCCAATAGAGAAAGGATAAGAAAAGACTAATACAAGGTGATCAGCATAACAAAGTTCACAACCCAGCAGTGGAAACAGCAATGGAAACAGAAAAACTACACATGATACAATTTGAAATAAAATATAATTAAATTGTGAAGTCAAAATACATATGCTAAGTATTCCCAAAAAGAGTGGGCTAATGAGAAATATGTAAGAGAAGGCAGCACTTAAGAAGAATTTCAGACTTGGAACAGATCTGGGAGCACATTAAGATTTGGCAGATTGAAAAGAGAGTAAAGGAAGAGGGGTACCTCTGAGGGGAGCATGCGATGGGCGAAGTGTAAGTGTAAGCTGATTGGCAGGACCACCTTTTCATTTTCATACAGCAGTTTCTTTGGAAGACTGGTGGCAAGCATACCTGAGAAGATAGGTGAGGCAGCAGTAGAAGCATGCTCAAATGTCAGGGAGAAAATTAACCCCTTTGAAGGGAAGTGGCTCATCATTAGAAATTTTAGACCCGGCACTTTTAACCTCCCTCTAAATCAAACATCACACAATGAGATTTTCAAAAGTTTATGATCAGAAATGTGGCATGAGGAATTTGAATGTTTAGATTAATGGTCATCAGGAATTACTTACTGGTACATGCAAATCCATCTTTACAAAATCACCACCAGTTTTCAAGCGAACCAAAATTGAAAAGTTGGATTCCCATGGGATACCAATTTGACAATGTCAGCAAAGCCATACTACTCCACTTTAACATCCATTTTTGCTGCCGGTGGTAATGGGCATACTTTTTCTACAGTGCATAAACACTTGGAGTTGAAAGTCAAAGTCAAAAGAAAGTCACTCACCATAGAAACAATTTCAGTTAAACAACATGAAAAAGTAAATATTTCCATGTTAATGAGAGAGATGAAACAGATCTACACTTGAGAGATGATTAGAAACAACTTTATTTTTATTTATTCACACAGCTTTTAATCCAGGCTCCTAAATGACAAATATTTGCTTGATATTAGCTCATATAATCAAAGCCACGAGGTGAATAATGGGCAGGCAAGGTCCCAAGTCAAGGCTCTTTTCATCACTATCCAAACTAACAACATTAAATCTTTATAGATATCGTGTGTCCAAAAAGGAGAATGATCAGTGAGCACCACAGATGAACTTCGATCATAAAGACAAAATTGAATTTAGATCATAAAGACAAAATTTGACTGAAACCCCATCAATGGTATAGAAGGAGAAGAGCTAATAATTACTGTGAGTCTGGTTCTACTTATGACAGAGAAAGATTCAGGACTTTGGTATTGAATCATAGCCCACAGAATACTCTACTTCTTGTGAAATAATTACATACTAATTTATAGGAATTTCTCCCCAAATAGGATCCAGAAATCAGTGAGGAGATGAGCTAGATAAGGGATATGAAGACATGATCTGCCTCATCATCTATGCAAAAGGAAGAAAAACAGCTAAGATGTCAACTTACAATAAAACATGGCAGTTTCTGGCTCAGCACCTTTGGGTCCAGATCTAGAAAGCCTGTTGGTTTCTCCTTCTAGACCAATGGTTCTCAACCTTCCTAATGCTGCGACCCTTTAATACAGTTCCTCAAGTTATGGGGACCCCCAACCATAACATTATTTTTATTGCTACTTCATAACTGTCATTTTGCTACTATTTTAATCAGGTGACCACTGTGAAAGGGTTGTTCAACCCCCAAAGGAGTCGCGACCCACAGGTTGAGAACTGCTGTTCCAGACAGCTGTAATGGAAATGCATTTCAAGACACTGCAATTGATTCTCCCTTCCTCCTACTCCCAATCTTCCCTTCTCAGGCAGAAATGCCCTCACCAATTTAAGCCAAAGAGATTCCAGGCTTCTCCCAGTTCTGTAAAGAGGGCTAGGGCATTTTGTTAGATAAAAAGGGGAAGGAGCTTATCTGCCTTGCTCATCTGTCTGTAACAAGAGCTAAACACAGTGTCTACATATAATATATGGGTTTTGATTAGATAGGTAAAGATTTACTTTCTAGGGCATTAAGGAATTTCCCAGTGCAATATTTATAGATCCCTTGATCAGGACAACTTTAATATGCTCCATTATTCACTTTCAGGAGGCTCTCAGTTCAAAAAAATAACATTAACTATTTTCAATCATACTAAAAAGATGCTATCTTACACAAATAGTCACCAGGCTAGGCAGTGCAAGTGTACAGGAGTAACCTAATATTCACTTGAACATAAATGAAGTGGGTATAGCATAGTGCAGAAAAAAAGCTCAGAATTTAGAATCAAAGTTGTAGTTTTAAGGTTCTTATCTTCTAATTATAACCTCAGCTTCCTCTTAGGTAATAGAGTGATAGAAATGCCTGACTTACTTTTCTGACAACTATTGTGAAGGAAAATTGAGATAGCAGAGAGCATATGGGAACTGCTTTATGAATGACTAGCAAGTCTACAGAAGGTAATAATAAAGACAATAAGTAATAAGCCTTAGAGATATTTTAGTAATAATAAATCAGTAGCTGAATTGCCTCAGGTAATTCAGATTATGATTTCATATTTAATTAATTATAGATTGAAATTGTGAAGTTTTATGTATATAAGACTTACTTGCACATTAAAATTTTATTTTCACCTCTTAGAAGAGCCAGTTAATTTTTTCTCAATATTTATGTTTGCAATCTGAAATAACATCCAGTAAATGATGCCAGATTTCATAGATGAGGATGCATAAATATTTGTTATGCAAAAGTTCTTATAATTGTTCCCTAATTCCCAAAGCAATTTAAAGTTGAAGTAAAAGATATGGGAACAGAGACACTGCTTGGCACATTAGGGACAGTGTCCCATAGATTCACTAAAGAGTGGTATTAGGAACAAATTTAGGCTGAAATAAAGTTCAAAATAATTAAATAAACCCACCCTACCCATTTAACTTTTACAAATACAGGATCAGTGTTCACCAAATATTATTAAATGCAAAAGACTTTAGATTAAAGTACATTTGCTAAAACAAAGTTAATTCAATGTCTTTACTGATTCAACTGATAATTAATTACCAAAGCAAATTGCAGAATTAAAGAAAATAATCCAGATATTATGAAAGAAATAAAGTGGTATTTTTTTTCATTGAATCAAATTCATTTTCGCTTAATATTTTTGCTTATTTTATTTTCACTCTTTCTGAGAAGATAAGTTCATTCAGGATGCCATCTAGTTTATTGTACAACCTGGCTGATAAATACATATGGGGTTAATTGAAGGGTGGAGGGATAAATGGCTCAGTGAGCCTCGCCTTTCAAGTTCTGGGATCTCTTGCTTTGTGATGGTTGGACCAGGGTACAGCTGCCTTAGCCAGTTCCCTGCTTCAGCTGACAAGGCTCACTTCTAGCAAGACAACCTTGAGGAGAAGCCACATAGACCTACCCCAATCCTGGGTGCTGGAGCAGCCATGTGGAGACCTCTGCCAGCACTGAGATGCTTACACTTTCACCAATTTAGCTTTCCTCCCGTCGTCAGCAT